AAAGTTACCGTTTTACATTTAAAAAGCAATTTTAGCAGATTTTTTGGCGTCAGTGAAGTTCGCCCTGTATCTACGATGTTTCCGCCATTTAAACCATATCCGCTAACTTGGTTCTGCTGTATTGGGAATGCATAAAACTGTTTCTGCTCCTTTAAAGAGCTGAAAATTTTTCTTTTTGGACTCGCAATTGCAAAATGGGACCACTCATGTGTGAAAAAATGCCGGCTGATTAATTGGTTTTCGGCTGCATCTGATTTATTTTGACGCGGAATTTTTTTTCAATGCGGAGCTGAGCCTGCTTCGCCGATGCATCGCAATTTTCGACGCTGAGCCTGCTTCGTCGATGCATCGAAATTGTCGACTTTTTCCCTCAAACAACTTTTCGTTCAGGCGACAGGTCTCGAGTTCGAATCTTGGCCGAACGTTGTTTTCTTTTCCATTATATATGCATGTCTGTATGTATGTATTTATACCTTAATTTATTATGGTACCTCGATCCCTTTCAGGCTCCTTTCCACTTGGCCTATCGATAAAGCACGCGACTTCAGAACATAAGGTCTCTGTTTCGGTCTACGGTGGGACAGTTTTTAAGAGCTGTAAGAAAATGATCTTGGTTTGGAATGGAACCTCAACCTTATTCAGGCCCTTGTCACTTGTTCTATAGTTAAAGCACGCGCTCTCTGAACTTAAAGTCTAGAGTTCGATTCCGGGCCGGGCCTTCCTTTTTTCGCTGTATGTTGAAAACTTGAAGTTATTTTTTTTTTGAAAACTTGAATTGTCGGACTATCGATCGTTTAATAAATTTTTTTGTTCTGTGAAAAGACGGTTTCGATAGGTAAATTAATCCGTTAAGTTTAGTAACCGTAAAGTAGAAAGTTAGTCGGAGACAATGAAATGGCGGTCATCCAAAGGTGACAGACAACTCTGAAGGTTAAATACCAGTTAGCGCCAGACAGATAGATAAACTAGATAGCAGCAACTAGAATGAAACTGAACTCCAATTGTGAACTAATTTAGATACTATGACATTCCCTTTCTTGTGAGAAATGAAGACTTAATTTAAATACTGAGTGAAATGTGGTTATGTAAATGAATGAAAGTTAACAACGAGTTTCAGCTAGAGTTTTGGTTAACTGGTATAGGCAAGGTTAAACTAAAGAATTGAGTTTTTGCCGCTTCACGGCATGCCCTCTCCCTGGACTTAGAATTTTTGTTTTCATGCTTTTCCTCCTTTCTATTTCGTCCCTGGTTTTTCCACTTTTCGGATATTGTCAATCATGACTGCCTCCATTTTATTGACTGCCGTACGTTTCCTTCCCGAACGTCTTGAGCTGGTCTCGTCTAACGAACTTGCCGAATCTTGACTCGAATACGAAACAAGCCGTTGCTTCCTTCCCCGCTTTTTGCTTTCGGTTTTTGTGGAATTTCCGATTTGTCCTGCGTTACAGCCTCGCCGCGCTCCGTCTACTTTCGATTCCCTTCCTTCGTGTCGTGCTTCCTCCGGTTTGTTTCAATCTCCGCCTCTCGTGCAAGAGTACTCCGTCGCTGTCTCGTAAGTGCTTGGTCGAATTGTTATCGTCTCCGTTTATTGACCCCCACTAGATGTTCCTTGTCTTTCCCCTTCAATGTTCGTCCCCGGGTTACTCCCCTTCGGTTCGGTCGCTTGTATTTTCGTCGCCAGTGGTAAATAGTCGTCTTCGTCCGATTCCGAGTCCTCCACGTTATCCCTGATTTGGCATTTCTTTTGTTTGCCTGCGGTGCTTTGGTAGGTGCCTGTGGTGCCTTTTGGGCTAGACGGTCGGTTTGCGAGTAGTTCTCGTTTCAGGTCCCACGGTGTTGGCGGTGCGGCAATCTGACCAGGCGCCCTTTTCTTCGGAGTGTTGGTCGATTTCAGTGCTACTCCCAATTTTCGAAGGTTAAACAATTCTGGCGGTGCGTTCTGTTTATTAACCACTTTACAATTTCTACGGATAATGGACATAACACAATTTTCAGGGTTAACCGGCGGATAACTTTCGCCAGGGTAAACCGAAGGGATTGAAATAATGGTGTTACTTTTAGTGCTCCGGACTTCTGTTGTAACTGCCTGTATATCTTGGTTTATCTCCTCTACCTCGTCGCTACTGCTAATGCTTGTGTGTCGTTTCAATAATTTCCTGATTTTGCGTTCCATATTTAGGTTAGATTTTGAGTTTTTGAAGTTTATACAAGTCCATCGAAGAAAAGTATACATCCGCTGTTTTCCGTTCGCATATCGTTTGTCCTACGGTATCCATGAGCTCTTCGATATTGGGCATTTGATATTTATTCTTGTGGACTTGTTTATTTAACTCCCCTGAATCTAGCGCTAATTTTACTGATCCACTTTTTTCACTGTAATTACAATCGCGGAGACGAAGTATTTGTCAGAACATTCTTCCAGTTTTTCGATATGCCCTTGCTGCAAAATTTACTAATTTTCTTATTGACTTTATCTTGCAATGTTATCGGTACTCTCCGTCCTTTTTGTTGGATTGGCGTTAACGTTCCGAAAAATTCCCCGTGCACCTTGTAAATCTTAATTTCACCGACTCTATGAAAAAGATTATCAAATTTACCATGGGTCTAATGAGTCCTCCTCGCTTGACGTTTCGGCCCCGGTTGTCCTCCTTGAACTGACATCACCTTTTGCTCCGGCGTTCTTTGCTCTATTTGTAATCCCAGATTTGGCATTAGATCCCTCCCAATGATCGACGGCCTGTTTCCTCCTATCACCTTGATTCTTGCTTCAGTCACCCATCCGTTTGTCTCCAGTGATACGTTCATCGTCCCTAGCAGCTGTAAAGGATTGTTTCCGTAATCCCTGAACTCGTCGTCCTCCGGTGCTGGCTCCTTTACGTTTACGCCTGCGGTGCCCAACGTTCGTTTCAGTTCTCCAACTGTGAATATTGAGATCGGTGTTCCGCTGTATTTCCAGGCGTTTGTTTGCCTACCATTTATTTTAACTGGCAGTCAAGCGCCGGCCACTTTCAACTCGGTTGCTTCCGAGTTTTTATGGCTATTACAGCATAGTCTCCTGAACTGTCCGAATCCCACGATCGTTGCCTCTTATCCGGTGTGTTGACCCATCCTACTGAATTTTCGTGCTGCGAATAGACATCCTCAGCGTCGCCTATTTCGCTAACATCCACATCCTCCTGGTTTTGAATCAGTCCCACCGCAGGTCTCCCCCGGTTAGTCCTCTTTACCCGACAGGTTTTGTCGTAATGTCCGCTCTTTTGGCAAAAATTACATGTCGCACTTCTAGCTGGGCATCTAGTTAGATGTTCCGGAGTAAAGTCGGGTTGGTCACAATTATAGTACCTTTTGGATGCTCCCCCTCTCATACCTGCTTGTCCCCTGAACGATCCACGGCCGCGCTGTCTGCTGTTTCGGTATCCCCCTCGGATTGTCCCCACCGGTTCCGTTTTAATTTGGAACGCCCTGGCTTCACCAGTGGTGCCGCTAGTTGTTGCTCCCCCGGTTGTCGAACCATATGATTTAGCATACTTATATCCACGCTCATATGACAACGCGATGCGATACACCTCCTCTGGTGTCTTTGTTGATCGACATCGCTCGTTCTATGCCTCTCTATTAATAATGTTCACAATGAATACGGTCCTCAGAGTTCTGGTCTCCAAGGTGCAAAGTTGCATCGTGCTGCTAGTGCGCTTAAAACTGAATGGAACTGCTCCAAGGATTCTCCAATGTGCTGTTTTCTTGCCAATAACTGGAATGTTTCATAAGTTTCATTTCGTTCTTTCTTGAACTCAGTTTCTATGGCATCTAATACTCTAGGATACCGTGTTGTAGATAGATCCATGTGTGGCTTCCTCTTATGCAGTTCATCTTGCCCTTTTTCCCCAGACTCAATTACAAGTTCGATATTAGAGTTTGTTCAGCCGCCAGCCGATTTTTTCCGTCTACCTCCTCCGGTAGTGCCGTAATGTGGGCTGCTGTTAGCGTACTGGCATAGTGAAAGTTTCTCGGATTGATACTGTGTTTGGCCACCATCCCCCATTGAAATCGGTTAAACCAAAACTCCCATAGCATTGGTGGCTCTGCGAACGTAGAGGGCCAAAACGACGTAATCCCCAGTCGGTTTTCCCCCCACTTTGACCCGTTGGCTGCGCCATGTGAAAAGACGGTTTCGATAGGTAAATTAATCCGTTAAGTTTAGTAATCGTAAAGTAGAAAGTTAGTCGGAGACAATGAAATGGCGGTCATCCAAAGGTGACAGACAACTCCGAAGTTTAAATACCAAGTAGCGCCAGACAGATAGAAAACTAGATAGCAACAACTATGATGAAACTGAACTCCAATTGTGAACTAATTTAGATAATATGACAGTTCTTTCTGTCCAAAATATGGCGTTTCCAAATAACATATAAAATTTCCTTGTTTAAGTAGTTTTAACTGAATTGAAAGTCGTTCTATAGTTGGTAAGTCTGATTATGTATAATTTTTTTCCCGTTTTTTTTACAAGCTCAAGTGTTTTCAAGTTAAGCTATATCGACTTAGTTACTTGATTGTTTGACGTTTAAAAATGCAAAAAATAAGGTTGTATTTTTGTGTGTTTCAAAGAATGGGGCGTAAAGTTTTTCTGTGAGTTTCAAAGTTTTATAGCTCAAAATTTTCTATGACATCGTTTTGTTTTCGTCTCAACTGGCGTCTACCCAAGTATTCTCGGCTTAATTGCGGCTCGGTAAAAGATTTTAAATGCTAATTTAATGGCAGTGATTGTATTGTTTCACATAGTTTTCTCATAATGAAGATCATTCGAAACAAATTTATGAAGTTTTTTTTTCTTCGATTTGTGTGCTTCCTCAATTTTCAATTTTTTGTCTGCTCTTGTAGATTGCTATGTTTGTGTTGTATCGCTCGATTCTGTGTGAAAGCACGGGATACATCATAAAATTGACGTTTATGTGAGGTAGTGTATTAACATTCTTAAAAATCAGCAGATGACACTAATTTTCAGGTGTTAGACTATGAGTGTCGCTGAGGATGGAATAGAGAGTGAGTACATTCCAACTATTGATTTCTCCCTCCTGTCTGCCTCAGTTGAAGATGAAGACCTCAACTTAGAGATGCTAGAGTGGCTGTCTGAACATGTACTGTTTGCTCTCAAAAACACAGGTAAGGATAAGACAAACGTTTTGCTGGGCTTAAAAATTGATTCAAAGATCGTTTCGAAACTATTGCCAAAAAATATTTGAGATAGAAAATTTGTATATTTCATCTGCATTATAGGTTACTATTTAATTGAATTGCATAATTTATACCACCATAGGCTTTCTATACCTGAAGAACTGTGGCTTGGAGAAAGAGGAAGTGGAGTTGGTGAACAAATTGTGCAGCGACTTTTTTCAACTGCCTGAAAATGAAAAACAAAAGTTTTCACGGGGCAGCAGTGACGAAAGAAATCATGGATATGTCGGCTACCAGGCAAGTTTTCTCTAACAAAATGAAATTAGATTTTTAAAAATTTAGTTAAAGTTTTTAAGAATTTAGTCGATCGTCCAGGAGGTTGCCATTCATTCATCCACTGAGCCTGATGCGTATCATTGAAACGGCTTAATGGCCAAGTGTGACTTAACTTGAACTCAAGTTTGTGTTCAGGTGGAGTCTTTGGATCCTAGACATCCCAGTGACCTGAAAGAGGCCTTCAACTTTGTCCCATTTGAGGTGCAGATGTTTGGTCTACAGTGGCCAAATGCACAGTTCGAATCCTGTCTCACTCAATTTTATCTGAAGATGAAGAAAATATCTCTGAGACTGCTAATGGCTATTGCCGTTGGTAAGCATGATTAATTTTATTATGTGTTTTGTCGTATTCTTTAAACAAGCAAAGCTTGTGCTATATTTTGTAATTTACCATTATTCTTTAAAACAAAACTTTCTTTTCCAAATCATTGCTGAATTTGATTTTTATCAACTTGTCTAAACTGAATGTTCAGATAAGATATTATCCTGACTCTAACGCGCTCAAAAGTTGTTGGTTACTCCTTTGTTTTCAGGTCTGAATCAAGATGTCAACTTCTTTTCTGAAAACCATGAAAACATAGGCGGGGAAGGAAACCCGACTGCTATGAGATGTCTCTACTATCCACCTCTTGAGAAGTCGCAGTTAAGCAAAGTCAAACCCGGTCAATTGAGGTGTGGGGAACACAGTGATTACGGGTAAGTGAGGAGTTTTGTTAGCAACTAGTTATTTTTCGATTGAAATATACTTAATTACATTGGTTAATGCGATAGACCAAACTTAACCCCACCCTCTCAGGAATTCGACACCATGCCGACCCAAAGGGTCCCCCCTTTGTAATATTTGGGATATCCATTTTTGGCTGACTGACCCTAAAACTTTTTACAGGCGCCTTTAGCGCCAATATATACTTTTTTGAGGGGAGAGCGCGCGCCAAAAAAATAATTTGAGTTCTTGTTTTTTAAGAATCTTTTTCCTCAGAAGTTACTTCATTCGAGACATACGTTTGAAAATTTTGGGAGACATAGGTTTCGGCATCTTTTCCGAACTTTTTTTTTTCGACTTCAAGTCTTTCGTCTGTCGGCTTGCTATGCTATGTTTTTGATTTCTCGGAAGTATCGCCCAGTGTTTAAACATGATGCAGAAATACGTCTTTCTGCATCCTTTTTATCTTTCTTAAGCTTGTTTTAAATGTGTTTTCAACAAGTAGACATCCACGCAATCAGACAGATCAGGAATCAGACAAATAATGTATCAGCCAATCAGAATCCAAAGAAAAAATTTTATTGGACAAAACTTTAAACGTAATAATAGGCAGATTTAAATTAAGCAGAATATGCAGCAGTCTGTGCTCGGTCCAAGGCATTACTAGTGTGATGGGTCTGATAACTGTTTATGCTGCGATCAGTGTTCGGTTCAAGTAATTACAGATCGGGGTGGCGCTGGTTACTTTTTTATTAGTATCATGGATGTACTTAACAATTGCCATTTTAATAAAGGTGACAGGGGCAGATCTAGGATTTTCTCGAGGGGGGCGGGCGGATTTTCAAAAAAAAATCGAAAGTTTTGTCGACCTTTTTTTGAGGTCGATCAAATTGATTTTCTGAGCTCTCCCAGATCAATTTAAAGACCCCATTTTTACCAAATTTTGTGCGCCGCAGGCAAATTTATGAAAAAAAACAGGCCCGCAATAGCGTTTTTAGGCACTTTTTGGAAATTTTTGAAAAATCGCGTTTTTTCGGCGCGCGCTTCCTGAAAAGTATTATATTTTGGCGCCTTTAGAAAAATTTTAGGGTCAGTCAGCCAAAAATTGATGTCTCATAATAATACCAAGGGGGGGGGGGGGGGGTTGGGTCGTGAGGAGTTCGAATCCCTGAGGGGGGATTGTTAATTAGGTTGAAGTCGCAAAGTTATTCAAATTTTCGACCAATCATATTACAGCAAAACGGCTTTTTTTAAAAAACCGGAAAGATCTAAATTGCAACAGCTGTTTTAATTGGAAAGTAAAATGACTGAAGGGAAGAAATATTTCCTTGTTTGGACGTTCTCGACATAAATTTACCACTTCGATTAGAAAAGGAGGTTTTTTGAAACTACTTATTAAGAGTAATGAACGTAGTCTTGCTAATTTTTTTTTTCAGAAAGTCTAAAGAGTTTCCAATAACGACAGATAGACATTGATACATATTGATGCATTTATGAATGCACTTAGCTATATATGCATTTTTTGAGTCCAATTGAAATTCATCTGCTGAAAATGATGTAAATAGCACTCTCCAAATATGAACGTGGAATTGGCGCAAAAAAACTTGAACAATTTCTAGTTTCAAAAGTGGAGTTTAATTTTTATATTTCCAGCGGAATTAAAACTTTACCTATTGATCCAGTTTTCTTTAGTTGGATTCATGTTATCAAAAAAACGCCAATCATAAATCGTTCTAGAAATTAGCTTAAAAAGAGCTTAAAGGGTATCTATTTTTCTCTGAAACTCGAAAGTCGAATTTTCAAGAAAGTCAGTGTTTTTGTTGTTTACCTTGCGTTCCTTACTTTTTTCCAATCTTCGATTAGTTCTGTTATTCCTTTATCATTTTCGATTCACGTTATCTACTTATCGAGTAACAAGATGCCAAATAAGCTGTTAAAACTCCAAACTGGACTATCTGAGGCTTCAAATGTCAACGGCTTCACCTCTCTGCGAGAAGTTTGTGCCCACTTTTTTTTACTTAAAAACCCAATTAGGCTTGGTGGGAACATTGCCATAGTTCAAATCAGCAAGAGTTGCTTTTCACACAAGGCGAAACATTATCGTGGGCGAGCCCCGAACGACCCTTTTTGGGTTTTGGATTGGTTGACACCATTTACAAGCCGGCGATAAGATATATAGATATTATGGACCGTCGAAACGCGAAAAATTTGCTTCCTATCATCGAAAAACCGTCACTTTAATCACAAAATGGTCACACATTCTCTTCATTTTGTTGAGTCGACCACTGGTGTGCACACACTAAATGAGGAATCTTACTGGAATAAAAAAATTGCAAATTAAGAAATGTGGAGTTGTTCCCCGCGTAATGTTACATTGGTATTTTCAAGAATTTATGTGGAGGAACCATTATGCTAAAAACAACAACTTTCTTCATATTATCTGCGATCTTATCAGCAGTTTGTACCCGCTTGATAATTGAATTTGCTATTTAATCCGAGGGGGCGATTCTTTTGTAGATACACCACAGAGGGGGAGGGGTAATTAGTAAATTGATCCAATATCACTTTTTTCGCTATCATATTTTGTTCTGTTTTAATTAATTTTGACCAGTCAGAATTGCATATTGATTTTTTTCTTACCTGTAAGTATAAATACGCAATGGTATAATAACAGATGACGGCAATCTGTTTTCAACTATATCTCATTTTCTTCATGTTTTCTTCCAATTTGTTTTTAAATGCAACGTATCTAGTATTGGAGTAGTCAGTACACACGCGAGCTTGCGAGCTTTGTGTTATAATACGAAAACGCTTTTTTCCAAGCTAACTTGCAAATAGAAATGCTCATCTTGGTGGCTCTATTGCTGCATAGCCAGCATAGTATTAGCTCTGGCAATTTGCTACAATGTGTTTATCCGCCGTATTGATGGCTAGTTTTTTGATAAACTCAGGACCACATGGCGCAGATTCGAGGACGTGAGGTTCTTAATATCCAGATTGGGGTTGAGTTCTGGCTCATGGTAGAAATTTTTGTTTTAAGGCTTTTTTGCATTTCATCCCTTTTTCATTTTAAGATCCAATTTTAGGCGTTTTGTCGCTTGCGTTAGGCTCTCTGTAATTGGTTTGCTTCAGGTCCGTCACTCTTCTTGTCTCAGAAGACATTAGTGGTCTACAAGTGTTGAACAGAGAGGGCAAGTTTGTACACATAGACAAATCAGATGACCCAACTCACATCCTGGTGAACGTAGGTGACCTCATGCAGCGATGGACTGATGACGAAATCTTAGCTGCTAAGCATAGAGTAAGCTTCAACTCAGCGAAGCTACTTGAACATTCAGAGTCTTCAGGTGATGTGGGAAGCGTGAATAACAGCGAAGATTGTGAAAAAGTAGTTTGTCCGAAACGACAGTCAATCGCGTTTTTTGTACATCCAGACGATCAAACTATAGTAAAATCGTTAAAGGGGATTTCTAAATATGCCCCGATTTCGGCAGGTGATTATTTGAAACAGCGATTTCGAGAAACTTATAAATGAAAAATTTTATCACCACCTTTGTCCATTTAATACTGCGCTGTTTGCATTCTTGAAGCCTATTTGAAATATATTTTCAAGATCTATGTATTTATTCGGGAGATATCAAAGTTTACTGTGGTGGAACATAACAACATCTGATGAGCACGTCAGTGACCTCTAATAAATGTCTTAAAAGCAATAACTTTGTCGGTCTAATTTGCATTAGATTTGCAATTTTTGCGTCAGTGGGAAACGTCGAAAATAGAAGAATTCGCACAAAATTGTTAACTGAAACAACTTTTTTTCATTTTTACAGGCGTTCACTTAGTTTTGTCTGACCTGCCTTGTCCTTTTTATTGCTCTGGATGCTAAAAAAATGATGCCAGTTGTATCGTTGTAATCAGTGAGTCCAATTGACTCGTGCAATACCTGAATAATGCCAGATTTCAAATGTTCATGAATAATTAACTACAATTTGATCGACTACTTTTTTCGTAATTTCAAAATATCTATCAACCGTACAATCTCACCCCCCACCAAGTGACCTACCGAAGTAACGAATATTCATGTTTGACGGAGTCGGCATAATAGGCGCTCAAACTTGAAAGCGTATTTTGCGTACGACCAATTTTTGTAAGTCTTGGACCTTCAAAAACTGCCAATTTGTGATAGGTAATGGGCTTGAGATTGCCAGTTTAGTATTAACGCGTAAAACTTATGTTTCGAATTAATCAGTTAATTCAAGTTAAATTGATGGAAGCTAATTGGTTCCGCCAATGTGTCAGTTGTGCGAATTATTGCATCTATTACAGTACTTTGGATTTCAAATTTTCTTAAAAAGCGTAAATTGCGTCACCCTCATACACGCACTTTGTAAGGAATTGGAATTATTTTCTCTAAGGCTCGAAAGTGTCCTCTTTATTTGCAGAACAGCGAGAAACAAAACAAGATTTAAGGTATTAAAACCCAAGCCCTGAATAATCCGACTGCCCTCTTACATATATGTGCCTAAAGATTGACGAAACTTATAACAAAATATTGAAGTTTATTCATAATTTTTAATGATTGCAATTAACAAGCGTTATCTTATCAGAACATCTTTTTTTAATGCAGCTGCTTGTTTAAAAAGATAGCTGAAGCAACCAGAAAAATTCCGTTCTCAAAAAGAAAAAGAAATATGTTTACTTCTTTTTGTCAGCTCAGTCGACTAAGCACGGACTTCTCTGATGATAGATGCAATTTTGACTATAATTCAAAATTCGTTTGATGCATTTCTGTAACATTATCAGTAACAGTCTGTGATACACGATTATAGGACTTTTTTTAAGTTCTTGTTTTGTGTTTTTTCTACGTTCAGTCACAAGAATGCAATGAAGGTAGCTTTGACTGAATTTTTTACTGGTAATAATCTTTCTTTCAAAACTATAATTTTATCTTGTTGCATTATAAAAAAAAGGATGTGGTTTTTTGCCGTTTTTCGCAATTGAATCTTTATAGTCGCAATTGAATCGCTTCTATAAAATCTTAAATTATTTTTTTTATACTTTGCTAGAGAATAGCTGGGTTGTGCCTACTCCTGTGGTGATATTGAGGTTTTTTTTAAAAATGGAAAACAGTAGTAACTTGCAGTAACCTACTGTAAATTTTGTCTTACGCTTGAATACAACTGCCGTATTTTTTTTGTATCGGAAGTGACGCGAATCTCCGTTTCGCTAATGTGTTTATTACACTTGCCAGCTTGCGAAGCGAAGCGCATTAGTGCGAACTTTCTCTTTTTTTTCTGTTCTAAGTCGCAATAATTGGTGTCACTTTTGGGGCACCTTTAGAGCTTTTTGATAGCTTGTGCTTTAACATTCGATTAGTAATAAGTAAACTCAGTTGATGCATTTCTCATTGTTCAAATGAACCGAAAAGAAGCTATTTGCTTAAAAATATAAGTACTATAAATAACACTCGATTTCTTAAATTTTTCAATTCGATATATCGCAATATTTTTGAAATGCATCATTTATACATAATTTGGCTTTATGCTGTCAAATTTATTACACGCTAAGTTAGCGTGGATGCCTTCAGTTTGTTGTATTTCAAATAGTTACATGCAAATTGTGCGGTTTTGGCAATTTTTTAGCGTATGTAGCTGCTTTGTTCGTGACTAGTGTTTGTCAATTGTTAGGCGTTCGTGTCCGAGCGGGCAAGGCGTGAGACTTCAAATCTGAGGTGGCAATTTCGAATTTGATATGTAGCAATGTTTTCTTAATGCGAGGATTATTTCTATTTTAATTTTAATTTATAAGCTGCTTTTTGCCGTGTTTCCGCTAGTGTTTGCGAAGTGCAGCTTCACCTCTGTGTAAAACCTTCCCTCCACGCGCTATATAAAACAATAAAAATTAATGCTGTATCTTTAAAGTTTGAACTAGATCAAATAGCTCACCTCAATTCAATTTGGAAAGGTGCATGAGCCGGATTAGTTCGCGGCTTACGCGTTTATAGAAAGAAATTATTAAGTGGCAATTATTTCAAATTGACAATTTTCAAACACCCATAAATTAAAAAAAAAGGATCGCAATTGAAATGTTTTTCAATTTCCAGTCCCGGAAATTGATATTTTTAGATGGTACAAATAACAGTTTTATTTAGATCTCAATCAAAAGCTGTTTGTTAGAAAGTTTAATTTCTTTGAAGAAAGTGCAATTTGCTGAAGGAGATTTTTTATGCGTGCACAAGAAATACATTTTTCTGCAAGCTAATTAAAATTCGAGCAGAAAGTGACTTTGAAATACAAGCCTTGAAGCCTTTCCAGTAAAGATTTAATCAATGTTTACACTAGTGAGCTTGCTCGCGAAGTGTTTCAGTACGAACTTTTTTCCACCTAAATTGCAAATAAAAGGCCTACTCTTAGTGGCTCTTTGAGTCGGTATGCTGCTGTAGCAGTATAATGGAATACTTGCTTCAAATTTGATTAATTAAAAGTTAACACAGATGATGCTTTTTTACAAGTTATCAATGAACCAAAAAATGTTTGTTTCAAACAGCAGTATAATAATAAAAAGCTCGATTTCAGATTTTCAACTCAATGTATCTCGCAATTTTTTGAGTTGCATAATTTATACATAATTTGGCTTATGCTTTCCTATTTATTACATGCAAATTTGTGTCTTTGTGTACTTAGGTTCCCCTTTTGCTGCATCGAATTGGCAATTTGTTGGCAAATGTAGCTGCCTTATTGCTGGCTAGTTTTAGGGAATTGTTATGCGTGTGCGGCTGATTGCTTAGTTAGTGAGATTAATTCATTTAAGGCTTATTTCTACCTTTTCTTATTTCACTTGATAGAACTGCTTTTTGTCGTGTTCGCTAGTTTTTGCGAAGCGCAGTTTTGTCTCTGTGTTTGAATTTCTTAAAATATCTGTGATAAAAAAATTATCGGAATCTTTGTGGTTTTCAGATCACTCCGAAACGAAATTGATGATCAAGCAAGCTAGTTTCCGATTAGAAAGCGAGGTTAATAGATGTATCATATTAAAGCCTTTTCTGAAAATGTATCTCAATGACAAATCAATTATCAGACCTATCTGGGGCAAAAAAAACGTTTGGTAACTAATTTTCAAGGCGAAATATTATGTCCAAAAAATCCTGCAAAAGTTGAAAAGTCCATTTTTTGTGTGTCGGAATTATATGTGACACTTGCGAAACAAGCGGCTATTCTTAAAAAAGTGTGTTCTTGTTAATTTGTGTTTCTGCAAAGTATTAGTGAATACACCAAGTTTAGTGATTATGAAGCAGATGAAAAATTATGCTAGTCTTGAACTTGTATCTCTCTTCTAGACATTCGTTTCAACTTGTCTGTAGGTGTTATAACATGCACCAGAAGTTTCATGCAAAATCAAAACTCGTTTTAAATTTAAACGGAGAACCGGTGCTTAATCTCGCCATATGAATAGTTAGTGCGGCGAGCTACTTTCTGGAAGTGAGAAGTCATACCCAAGTTTCAATAATCTTTCTCTGAAATTTTAATTTTGTGCCACAGCTTTATTGGGGCCCATCTGATGCTTACAGCAGCAAGCTTCAATCGATGCCTTTTTAAAATACTTTTCAAGCTCAGGTCAACAATTCTAATCATTTTCTCTGATCTACTTGAGCAAGAACTAGAACTTAGAAAAAATGACTATGCAGAAAACTAGCGAAACTGCAACTGCGCCTGTTTTGGATTTCAGCGAGCTTTCTCTGGACGTCGATGATGCTGATTTAAAAGCGGATTCCATTCAAGACATAACCAAACAAGTTATGGATATGCTCAGCACCACTGGATATCTCTATCTAAAGAACACTGGTTTGAAAGTTGAGGAGATAAAAGAGTTTAATAAAGTGATGCGTGATTTCTTTGAGCAGCCCGAAGAAACCAAGGGAAAAGTTAACGGAGAGTTTGGATGGAATCGGAAACACGGCTGGATACGGGTAAGGAATTTTTCAATAAAACTAAAGACATAGGATTTGCTTACGGCCACAACTTAGCCAAAATTTAAGTCTCGATATTTTTTGATGCTTGATTTCACTACAGCCTCCTACAAGCAATTCATATACCCTGTACTACAAAAAAGCTGCATGGTGATTTCCTAGTCCTTTTACTTTGTTTCAGTTGATTTTTGCTGAGAGTTTTTCCGCTAATGCATGTTTTTTTTGCTTGGCTAATACTTTCCTTTTGGTTATGATTCTAGATTTGGTTGGGTTAGCCTGTAGTTTTTCAGTTTTTTGCTTGTGGTTCGCTCAATTTTTTCGAGTTGTAGTTTTTTCTGTTAATCATTTCCTCTCACAGACAATTCTTGTAAAACTCAGTTTTACTTATTCTAAATGTCCCGAAACTTGGAACAAAGTTAAACGCACTGAATTTAGTCATATATGAGGGTCTTATATTGCTTGTAAAAACCCGTTGTTACCCTGTACAATGGATGCATTCATTTAAACACCTAGTTAATTTTCCAAATACTTTTACTGTTTTGCTTCGACTGGTTTTTTTTATGAGCAATGCTTGTCTGATAGTACCGGTTTGAATTTTTCCCCTGTAGCTAGCACTTTTTTGTGCGAAATTTTGTCAAATATCAGCTTCCTCATCCCGGGTCGATTTCTATTTGGTGATTCAGAGAGCAAGTTTTTTCTACGAATTGGGTGACATTGGTTTGATTATTTGTTGACGCAAATAAATTCATTTGGAATAAAGAAAAAAATTGCGAGGATACAGCAAAATTATGATGCTCTGAAATCTACTAACTCTTCGCTTTTTCGAAAACAAAAAGTTAATCGCTATCCTTTGTTATTATTTTTGAAAACCCAAGTGAATGCTACGGAGCTAGAAAACAGTACAACGTCAAGTTATAACGTCAAGCTCTGAAACTTTCTAGTTGATGTTCGGAATTTTCAGATTTTTCAAAAGATAATAAGCTCTTCCTTCACAATTGGACTGTAAAAACTTAATTACTTTTTATAATTTTTACTCTTGCAATAGGCAACGCTATTGCAACAGGTTACTAGAACTTTGTCTGTTCGTTGTAAACTAAAAAGCATAACTTGAGCGGCACCGCGAAAACCGCAAGAAAAGACAACTCGCGACAAAAGACAACACAAAATTGAGGATAGCGACAACTCGCAAGTTTTTGAAACTGATTTGGAAACTTTATATTTTCGGTTTGAGGTCGCCGGTGGGCGCGCTACGCGCACTTCGCCGCTTTGAGGCGATAACCGGCTCTAAATATGTATAAAATCTTACCCTCTGTTGGTGAGCTCGCAACATGAGTATATTGCGAGTTGTGTTTTAATGCGAGTTGTCTTTTATTGTGATCTATTGAGTTGTCTGCATTTTGAGTTCTATTTGAATTGTCCTTTAATATTTGCTGCGATTTCGCCATTTCCGATTTGTGTGTACTATCAATTTTTCAACTGATTTGGCTTGAAAGGTTTCGTTTTAGATTATATCAGCTTAGTGTCTATTTTGCATTGTTTGGTGTGTAACAAAGACTTTTTTCAAATTAAATCGCAAATAAATTGTTCATTTTGTGGCACTTGCTATAATCACAATCTGTAGCAACAGAAACTTCATAGCATCTGTTCTCGGCTTTTTTGGTAAATAGTGTTGGCCGTTAATCAAGTGTCCGCGGCTCAAAAGGAAGGACGTGAGTTACCTAAACTACTTGTCGGAGGTTAAACGCCTCATTTAGCAAAAGTTTCAGATGAATTTGTTGGCCCTTTTGCTCCATAGCATGGAAAATTTATTAGCTTTCATAGCTGCAACAATAGTGGCTACCGTTACCAAATTTTCCACGGCCCGTGGCTCAAATGCGAAAATGTGATACTCAAAATCTGGAGGTCGAGCTGAATAGGGGAACTTGATACTCGGATAATTACTCAAGTGATCTAGTGAGCTGAGTGTATTAGTGGGGCTCTACTTTTTTCCCTAATTAGCTCGCAAGTAAAAGTAATAAATTGGTGGCATGTTTGGTAAAATACGAATTGTAGCATAGAAAATTTAATAGCTGCTCTCCAATAATATTTTTTAAAGGCCAATAATAATTTTATAGGTAATAATTATTGGCCTTTATTCACTTGTTCATGGCTCAGAGGGAAGGACGTGATTTTCCTGCTAAGCTGCACTAGTGTTTTTTGCTTCAAAAAAAATTAAAATTTCGTGGCCTTTATGCTTCATAGCATATGCAGTTTATTAGCATCTATAGCTGCACCAGTAGAAAATAGTGTTACCAAATTTTCAATGGTCCATGGCACAGGTGCGAGAACGTTGCACTTTAAATCTCGGTGTCACTGGATCGAATCTGGCACAAAAGAAAGTTTAATAATTCGATGCTTGTTTCTACCTTTTCTTATTTCATTTTTTAGAATTGCTTTTTGTCGCTTGCTACCAGAATAATTTTTCTGATTGAATTTTTCCTCTAATTGTAACTCATAATGCCTTTTTTTCTTGTTCTTAATTAGTTTGTAAATTTCTTGGGATGGAATATTTTCAAATTGCATGTTACTTTCATTCTTTTTTTGTGGCGCTGTATTACTTTCGACTAATTCCCGACCACTTTCAACAGAAAAATGGTTCATTTTTCTGCGCTCAGAGTTTTGTGTTTTGAACTCACTTGTTATTGCTTCTTTTTGATCTCACCTTCGATTTTGTTTGAAAAAACAGGGTTTATGAGGCTGCATGAAAGTGAACTCTCATACAAAACGTTTTTTAATTACGACATAAACTTCTCAATTTTTATGAAGTTTCCTGGAGTTAAATAAGATTAATATCACTCGTGTTGTTCAGATACTTTTTTTATAATTTATTCTTTTTTTTAAGATCATTCTACAATTTAGCTTTCAATCAATTTCCGATTTTTTTTCACCTGTGATTTTAGGATTGAGTTTTCAGAGCTTTGAAAAGCAATCATTCACTTTTCAATATCATGTTTCAACTCTACCTTTTCAGTGGTCTGCCAGCGCGCAAAATTGAACCTCAACAAAGTCTTATACTTATCCGAAACGTTCTAGTTGACTTAACAAAAAACAGGATTTTTTTATTTCGAGGAAAATTTGTCTTTGGCTAGAATTGTTACTTCAATTTCTACGACCTCGTGTTCTAATAAACAGTTGTGTTGGTCCATAACTGTCGAATAATAATTGGTTAAAAGCACATCTATTGTTTACGCGCTGCTTTTTGTTATGCTAGTACTATCTCACTTCAATAAATCAATCCTAAAAATTAACAGAACCTCTTCACGATTTAGAGAGTCACTTGTCGACTTAGACACATCAACAGTCATGTCTCCACATACAGTGAGCATTTCTTCAGGCTGCATTTTAAACTCGAACAGACAATCTTGTAATTGATCAAGACATTTACAAGTGTACACTTGGGGCAATTTATAGACAACAGTTAGAAAACTCTTTTCACTGCTGTTTTCTCATAAAATGGTCACAAAATGCATTTCGTCTGATGTCAGTTTTCTATTTTTATCAAGTGAAATACCTTCGCTTACGTAAAAAGCAACACCACCATTTCTCCTCCTATTCACTGTTTCTACAGTTTGGTAATGTGGCAGTTTGACATTATAAAAGTCTATGCTCTCTTTCAGCCATGTTCCAGTTAGATTAATATCGTGTGGTTTTTTGATTTCGTTTGCAGAAAAGTTTCGAAGGATTCAAAGTTTTGCGTCAATGAGCTAAGGTCTTTGTTCAAAAAATTGAACATTCAGCAATACGCATATTTTATTTTTCTGACCTTTTTTGTTATGGTGTTGGCCAAACCTTGGAGCCAAAAAAATTACAACAACACTCAAAACTGCTAATTAAATAATTTGTCTTCGAAAAAGAAAACCAAGAACTTAGGTAAAGTTCTTTGAAAAGAGATATGTTTTAACTGTTATATAATTTTTAGAAAAAAAAAGGATTAAATAACCTAAATAAGGGGTAAAAGAAAATTTAACAAAAATTGCTGAGAATCACAAATAGTCTCCTTTTCAAACATCTTCCATCCTAATGGCTTTTTTCGCTGATAATTGCAATTTGAACAATTTTTAATTGAAAATACTCAAATCAGAAATGTATTGTACCGTGTTTTTTTGACCACTAAAAATGTTTTGTGTTTCAAAAGCTGATTGAAAACTCGTTTGTCCATATGCGAACTGTAAGCGTTTCCATTATATATTGTTGAAAAAAAGTGGTGATGAATGTTGGGAAAGAAACAAATTAGACTAAAAGAAACTGGCAGTTTTCCAAGAAAAATGATTTATTTGGTGAAAATAACATTTTTATTCATTCAACCGATGTTATTTTTATATTTGCGTCACTGGATTTATATCAAAGTTTCAGTTTCGAGTGACTGTTGCCATCTCCAACAAATTAGAGTTCATAAGAGTTCACGTGCTTTACTTTTCCGCATTCATAGTTTCTTTTGTTTTTCATTTGGCTGAAAGACTAGACTAGTGTTTCACGATTCTCTTCTCATTTTCCATTTTACGGTGGACCGCGTTCAGAACTTGCCGCCCTACTAGTCAAGAGTTGTTTTCTTTTACTGCACTTTACATAGCTTTTAACTCGTCCACTTGGTCCATTTTTTGATATCGAACTTGCCCCCGTAATTTTTTTACCTAACCGACACGCTAAAATTCCCCGAAATTGTGATGAAACCATTTTTAGACACTCTTGGTTTATCTTTGATTCAATTTGATGGAGACGCTTGTTCATATATAATTTTTTCCATTGATTTTGTTGCTTTTTTTGCTGAAATTTTTTCGAAGCTGAAAAATTGCTAAATTGAACTACCGTAGGGGTCAATCGTCGGAGTAGGTTTTCAGTACTAGGCATAATATGGTGCTCGCCGTAAGTTTAGTATATCCCAAATCTCGGAAAAAGTACAAGCAAATCATCAAGATATCATTTTTTCATTTTGTGAAAATCACCCGAATACTCTCTCAGATCAATAGGAGGATTTTCGATTAGACTCGAATCCTCACTGGTGTACCGTTGAATCTTCACTGGTGTACCCTCAACCTCACGTTTAATTTATAACAAATAGTTTGCAGATTGCTCATCTTTTCTACAAGTTCACTCCTACCAGATACTAAACTGTTTACCATCAGCAGCAACGTCTCTTTTACACCCTTATCCGTAACCTGATTGATGATATCAGTAATCTGTTGTGGAATATCCATGATATAACATTTTTTAATGCAAGAAGTAACAATATTGAAATTGAATGCAATAAAATTGTCTTATTGTGAATTCAAACAAGGTAACTTAAGTTTCAATTCGGCAGTTCAAGGTTTTTTAGAATGAATGTTGACTTTTGAAGGTCAAGAAAAAGAGCAACTGTTTCTCAGATATGTTTCATTCTTTTTTGTCCGTTTTCGTTTTTGCTGTGTTAAGCAAGAAATATTCAACGATGTAGCGGACTGGAAGGAAGCGTTCAACGTGGTCATTGGCGAAGTCATTCGTCTGGGGTTGACTTGGCCCAACGAGGAGTTCCGAGTTGCGATGGAACAAATGTTCGGCCGATTGAAAGTGCTAGCTCTCCGATTCCTGACTGTTCTTGCTTTAGGTAAGTCTTAACCTGTCGGAAGACTCAACAATCTTGGATTTGAGCTCTGCGCACTGTAAGAATGTAAAGTTTTGATATCAAAAGGTCCCAAGAGTATAAATTTTAAATGAATGTCAGAAAAACCGCAGTGATTATTTATATTTAAAGAACTCATCGATGGGTGTGGAAGTGGAATAGATGAGGCTATAAAGTGAAACGGTCAGTTAAAAAATATTTTACCAAGTATGCGTCATAATCAGTTTGCGGCATTTAGCAATTATGAAGACTCATAATTGGCGTGCGTCACATAAGAAAGTATGTAGACTCAAAGTTTTACTCATTCAATTTTTCTCAGTAACATTATTGGTCATATTTTACTTCTGTATTATGTTATTTCAAAAAGTATATATTTTTTATTGATTTAGTAAGCAGAGCTCATTAGCTCCAGTTATGATTATTGTTTGCTCTAATGTAGCTGTAGCGTATAGAAAAACGAAAGTTTTGGACTTCATGAAGTTATAGTTTAGGAGCGGCCGGTAAAACTGTATTTTGAAATATACAGGTATTTTCAAAACATGCATTTACAAATCTTCCCTCGAAAAATATTGGGGTTATTGAAGTGATTCTTTGTTTGCCGAATTCTGATGATATAATTAATTAAATTGGATTAATTTTTGTTCACGCATGCTTTCGCGTTTTAATGAAATTTCACTGCATTTAGAAACGAACAAGCTACTAAAGTGCTGAATTGAAACAACCGGACAAAGTAAACTAAAACAGAATTTTGAAACTCGTTTTTGTCATTTCGGTGATATATGGTCACAAAGTCACGAGGACAAAAATAGCTTGGAGTTTTACCAGCTTTTTTATGATGCGGTATTTCTTTTGCAACATTTTGAATCTCTATTACAACTCAACACGGTTAATTTAACTTGGTCTAAAGTTAAGTATGTAAACAGGGTTAATTGTAGTTGTTCTTACACCAATTGACCTGACCCTGTTTACCTCCTTAATTTTGAACCTAATGAAATGAATCGTTTTAAGGGTTTAGTTTTGGCTCCAATTTCTGCAAAAAAAGTTGCACCATAAACAAGCTGGTGAAATACTAAGCAATTTTTGTCCTCATGATATAACCGAATTTGAAAAAAAATTGAGTTAAAAAGTTCTGTTTTAGTTCATTTTATCCAGTTGTTTTAATTCAGCGCCATAATAGCTTGTTCGCCACAAAATGCAGTGAAAATACATCAAATCGCATAAACATGTGAAGAAAAAGCAATCCAATTATAATGTTTTATATCATCAGAATTCGCCAAAATCTTTGCTGCCAAATATTTGTGTAACGAGAGGATTTATGAAAAAAACGTTTTGAAAACACCCTGTATTTAGAATTATCCTATTTGAAGGCATGAATTAGGATTGCGTTTCAGGTTTCGGACAAAAGGCTAACTTTTTTACGGATATGCACAAGCAGCTGGGATCAATTGGAAACAGCAGCTTAGTTCGATGTGTGTACTACCCACAGATGCGGCAGAGCGACTTGTACAATGTCAAACCCGGTCAACTGAGACACGGAGATCATTGTGATTTCGGGTAAATATAAAGCAGTTGCATATCATATTAATTTCGAATGTAAATTTGAACGAGGAAAATAGTTTTATTTGCGAGCTTTCGAAAACTCAGGTAAGCCTAGTAAACGTACGAGTTTGAGTGATGTATCGTATCCTAGCAATTTCAATCTTGATTTTATCTAACTTTCACAAACTGAAGTATTTTTTTAAATTTTTACAACTTCCGATTCGCAAGTTTCGGTTTTTGATTTTCGGGCATACAACCGGAATTGCAAACAAATACAATCAATTTTGTCTGCAATTAAACTTGCGATAGCATTTTTTTTGCTTTTCAGCATTAATAAACGATGTGGGTTTTTTAAACAAAAAATTGTGAATTATGAATTGTTCTGGAATTTCAAAAAGCGTCAGCGTTATGGTCATATATTTTTTATTTAATATTCAAACATTGAAGTTTTTTTTTCAAAAAACGAGTAGTATTTTTCTGTTTTCTTTGCATTCATTGACTCTCTGTTCAATCAAAGTTCATGTGCTAGGTGAAAAACCAAAATCGTTCTCCAACTTATTGTCTTTTTTCTACAGTACGTACAGAAGTCTTATATTACTCATACAGGGGGCGGATTTAGGGGGGGGGGGGGGTTGGACGCCCCCCTTTTTCTCAGGGATTCGACACCCTACCTACCCAAAGGGTCCCCCCTTTGGTACTTTTTAAGAAATCCACTTTTGGCCGACCGAACCTAAAATTTTTCTAAAGGCGCCTTTAGCGCCAGTATTTACTAATTTTGAGGGGGGAGCGCGCGCCGAAAAAACGCAATTTTTTGGTCAAAATTTTCAAAAAAGTGCCTAAAAACGCCCATTTTGACTGTTTTTTCAAAAGTTTGCCGGCGGCGCAGAAAATTTTGCCAAATTAGGGGCAAAACAGTGCTTTGGGAGAGCTCAAAAAATTAATTTGGTCGACCTAAAAAAAAGGTCAAAAATTTCGATTTCTTTTTGAAAATCCTAGATCCGCCCCTGTACTCATATACTGCAAACTCCGTAGGATAAACTCACGAGCACTAACGCTTAGTAGCCGGTTCCCGGGATTTTCGCAGAAAAAAAAACGAAAAAAAAGACGCATAAATATCACATTTTAAATGTCTAAACAGTCTATTCAAATTTTTTCAGAAAACACTTTTTTCAGACTCGGCGACATTAAATTATTAATTTTTGAAACTTCTAGCAAATTGAAAGATGCCGAATAAACAACAGTTAGTTTTACATGAAAAGAGAGGTAGAAGTTTGTTTTCCAAGCTATGTACTTGATTTTACATAGTTTTGCATCGTGTTTTTCTTACTGTGCGCTTTGATGGGGCAGTACAACAGTGCCGAAGTACAATAGTGCCGAAAATGAAAACTTTGTTCAACAGTGCCAAAAATGAAAACTTTGTTCAACAGTGCCGAAAATTTGAACAAATTTCAACATATTAAGTGCGGCAATCAAAAATTAAACAGCGATCATTCAGAATCTTAAGTAAAACTAAAATTTTGAGCGAGAAAATTTGCAGCTTACACGTTTTGGCGCCAAAATAATTGTTTATTTTGCAGTTGCAGACATATTGGCGCCAAAATTGGAGTGATTTTCTTTGATAATTAGCGCCAGTAATTTCCCGCTCTTCAGAAAATGCGTGTAAATTATTCTGAAATTTTCCCGCCTTTTTCGGTACTTTTGTACTTCGGCACTGTTGAACGCCCCCGCTTCGATTGCAAAATGTCTGCTAATAATTACCCCTAAATGTTTACAAGATTCACATGTTCGGTTTTGTTAACGAAGAAAAGTTATAAATCGTTTTCATGAAAAAGTTTCGGTCTAAAAGAAACTTCTCTTTATCGGAATATGAAAAGTTTTATTAAAGGGACGTTTGTTTTAGGCTGTCAAGGTCAACATGATTTTCATTTGTTAAATTTTCTTAACATTTTTTTTTGATTTTTTTGTTCCGACTTTCAAAGAATTTTTTCTACTCAGCAACAGCTAAAAAATGAGAATATTTAAGCAGGTCTTAGCTAGACGTTTTGGACAATTTTTTTACTCTATCAGAAAATTATTGTTGTTTTGAGAACAAAATTAAAAATTTTCATCTGTGATTAATTTATGCGGGTTTAAAAGTTGCTAATTTGGCCAATTTGGAATAATTAACCCGCGATATTTTGCGTTTATATCAAGCGTCATGGGCCAATTTAACCGTTTGAAATTGAGTTGAGGCAAGTAACTTTATTTATTAAGATTTGAACCACTAAAGACATCCTTTCGTTGTTTTACATAATCGTGTGGGGTAATAAAATGAAGAAAAAATAAAGACCATTTTTTTCAATTTTTCATCACATTTTTCATTTTTATAATTGGCTTTAAAAGTCAGTTGGAGCATTCAGGGTTTTACCTTGATATACGATCAGTTAAATTGTAGTCCAATGTCTCAGTTTTATAAGTTGAATAGAGTTTTCATCAGTTTGTCATTTTGTGTGTGTGTTTGTGTTTGTTTGTGTATCTAATCTATATATCTGTATACATATTGTTTGAGGAAGAATGTGTTGCGAAAAACGCAAAACTTTCCAAAAAGTGTCTAAAGACTAGGGCGCAGAAAATTTGGTCAAAATATGGCCTTTAAAGTGTTAAGGAGACGATTTTTTGAAAATGCGCCACCCTTTGAGAAAATTTTACTTTCGCGCATGATTATATCCATAGCCCTTGTTCACTATTTTTAATTTATTTTGGGTAGTTATTATTTAATTACTATATTTAATCTTTATAATTAATTAATGATCCGCCGTCGACCGTGAAGTTTTTTTAGAAGTGTTACTTTATTGGTTTCTGAAGATTTTCGAGGACTCCAGTTGCAAAATCACGATGGAAACTTTGTGGACATAGCTAAAGTTGAAGACCCAACGTATGTGCTTGTTATTATTGGAACCATTCTTCAGAGGTGGACGGACGATGAAATAATTGCACCCAGACACCACGTAGTTTTCAATGAATTAACGCCACATAGAACTACTGAAGGAACCGAAGACCCAATCCGAGTTGCTAAGAGACAGTCATTTGGTCTGTTTGTGAACCCAGACAATGGTGCTATGGTGCAATCATTCAAAGGGAAAACAAAATACAAACCAATAAAAGCTCTCGATTACCTCAACAAAGAATGTTGCAAGATTAACAAGCCCTGAATAGAAGCAACGAAGAGACAACAGATTCCTTGCATAATGGCTGTAAAGACTGTGAATTTAATATTTTTTTACTTATGTATAGTTTAATGATAATAGAAGTTCAAAATAATCACCTACAATTTTTTTTAAAAAGCGAGGAAAATGAAATGACCATCTAATCAGATAGATACTCCAGAAAAGATTATCTCAAAAGGGCTCAGTCGCGAATATCTTCACCAAAAGTAGAACTATACTCGTGAACCAGCCTTTTGTGCTAATCTCAATTTTTCTGATAGAAAAATGCTGAAATAAAATCATTACTTCCTGAGCCGGCCAACTGTTTTTGCGAAGAGTGGTTGAATCTTTTTGAAATTTGATTTCAAGTATTGAAATAATTTTGAATTTTCCTAAAAATCTACCAAGCAAACTTTTTATGGAAGAAGCGCGGTTTTGCGGCCCTACAGTGGAAACATCCTGGTTTCTTTCCAGGCAAAATCAGAGACCGCATAAAAACTTGCAAGCAAGGTCTGTGATATATCAAATCGCAACCTTTACAGGTTACATATAATTCGATTTGCAATAAAAAAATAAAAAAATGTTTCCTCGATGTCATAGAAAAATGTTGCTGAAACTGGCGCATTGCGTTTTTGAGATAATGTAATCGATAATAAACCAAGCAAACCCATTCAAAGAACCATAACTGCCTTGATTTGAATGTAAATACAGCTGAAATGAACACATGTGAACAAACTATTTGCATCAAGTTTACTGGGGCGGTGTTAAAAAATACTCTTGTGATATTTAGCAATTTAACATTCTGGGAAAGTATCTGAATCTTTCGAAGATTTCATAAGAAAGCTACGAACTGGCAATTTAAGATTATTTCGGTCATGTTCTTAAATGTCTAAGATCAAAAATATTAGAAGATTGTTAAGAAAAGGGTTCAAAGCGGCGGATATATATACAGGGGCGGATCTAGGATTTTCTCGAGGGGGGGGCTGATTTTCAAAAAATGTTCGAAAATTTTTGTCGACCTTTTTTTTAGGTCGACCGAAATGGTTTTTTGAGCTCTCCCTAAGCTCGGTTTAGTCCCTGTTTTGCCCAAATTTTCTGCGCCGGAGGCAAAATTTTGAAAAAACGGTCCAAAAAGGCATTTTTAGGAACTTATTGAAAATTTTTGACCAAAAAATCGCGTTTTTCGGCGCGCGCTCTCCCCTCAAAATTAGTCAAATACAGACACCCAGATGAAATTACTTTCAGCCACCATAATCTCAACAGAAGCACTTAACCAAGCATTGATCGACGGAAATGGATATTTTAATCATCAAAAATTGAGAAACATGGCACGATCATCGGCCAATGGGACAACTTTTAAATCTTTTAACAACCATAACCAGATCAAGAAGGAACTGAGCCTGAATATAGAACGGAGTAATTCATGCATGAAATGTGGGAACACATTTACGAAAGGACACTTAAACGTTTGCCCAGCGAAGGACATAACTTGTAAAATTGTAATTATAAAGGGCACTTCGCCAAATTATGTAAATCCCGTATTAAGCGACCCACTGTAAATACCGTAATGGCTAATTGTGTAAATACCGAGAATTTTACATACGTCCCTCCGGAAAACTCATGGGAGGAGAATCAAGAATCGTGGGATGTAATAAACGCTTGGAACGAGTACGGACAGAGCGACGATGACGATTTCTCAGTGTTGAGCGTGAGAACCATCTACGACAAAAACGGACTTGAAACGAAGAAACTCTTGAACATAGGCATTCGCTGGGATTTGATTGTAAATATGAACATACCAGTAGATTCAGCAAGTCCTGTAAGCTTTTTAAAACAAAACGTGTTACACGAAATCAAATTAAGATACCCGAACTTGAAAATTTACGCAGTGGGAAAGAGGATAAAAGACTTGTATTGTGGATTCACTGACGATACGATCAATATCTTAGGAAAGATAATCGTTTGGACACAATCCAATGGGTGGATCAGCGAAGAAACACCGTTCTCCATAACAGGCGGACACGAACGAAATATCCTGGGGAATGACCACCTACCCAAACTTGGCATAGAAGTGACTCAGAGGAAATGCCCCCAGCCCATTTGCATGATCAATCAATCTCCACTCGAGAGTAAGTACAAAAGTTGCCTTCTTTAACTGACAAGATCTTTAATGAGTTCAAAAAACTATTCGCTAGAGTGGGGGAAATACCTAACGATCGCAAAGTAACACATTTCCACTCACCACTTAAACTCATCAGTACAATCTAAAGGGAGAAGAGAACCTCTTCACTTACTCGCGGGGGTGAATGAAGAATTGAAAAGAATGGAGACCGAAGTTCAAAAATAAAATTGGAAAAATGCGACGAAGATTGCTTCATCAGCCCAATTGAAATTACTTGAAAAAAGGATGCTTCGATCAAACTGGCTTTAGACTCCAAATTTTTAAACGACCAAATTTTAAAAAAGTAAGTATCAAATGCCGAACATACATGAACTCATAGATAATTTAGCCCTACAAATCTCAGAGAAATCCAACGGGCGAGTCTGGTTCAGCAATCTGGACCTGAAAAACGCCTACAGCCAACTCAAACTGTGTGATCAAACTAGTAAACAGTGTAATTTTAGCATAGTAGGAGGCGAAACTACTGGAACGTATCAATTTTTAACGGAAATTTACGGACTGGGGGACATGCCTAATGAATTCCAACGGGTCATGGACTCACTGTTGAAAAATATTCCTTTCACAAATTGTTACATAGACGACATTCTGGTAGCCTCGAGGGGAACTTTGGAAGAACACAAAGCAATAATGTACAAAATTTTATCAATCTTAGATAAGAACAATATGGCGGTTAAATGGGGGAGGTGCGCATTTCTTAAATCAGAAATAGAATGGCTTGGCTTCAGAATCTCCGGCGATGGAGTTCGACCATTGTTCGGTAAAGCAGACGCTATAAAAAACTTGCCAATGCCCAAGAACATTTCCGAACTACGCTCTTTCTTCGGCTCAATAAATCAGGATGTAAAATTCGTCCCTAATTTATTGACTCTAAGCTCTCCTCTTCGTCCTCTACTGAATAAAAATCGGTTTACAAATGGGGCAATGATCACTCAATAGCGTTTGAAAAACTAAAAGCAGAAATTGTAAATATTACAGAAAACAGTCATTTTGATATAAAAGAGAAGACCAGGCTGAAAACAGACGCTCCGCACAACGGACTAGGTGCGACTCTAGAATAACTACAAGGAGACCAGTGGAAAACAATTGCGTTTGCATCTATATCTTTGAACAATCATGAAATAAAGTACTTCACAAATGATTTAGAGCTACTGGGAGTGTTATGGGCTTCAGAACACTTTAGAATTACCTTTAAGGAACAAAATTTCAAAATGTAACTGACCATAAAGCCTTACTCTCAGCACTTTCAGCAAACCACGGGAATAAAACGATGCATAGTCGACTGACCCGTTGGGTGAATAGACTTTTACCATTTAACTTTTAAATTTAACTTCCTTCGGGCAAAACCCGCCTAACCTCCCATTATTACTATGAATTTGTAGTCGCTTCAATCGACAAAATTCAAAAAATTCTAATAAATAGACCACACTCTAACTTTGTAGCTGTAAATATTGTAGATAGACCGGCGGTCGCTGTAAATACCTACTCTCTCGTTAATAATAATATCCCGTCGGGAATAGAAAATTCAAGCGACGTGATTGGTGAAAACCTTTTAAACATCTCTTTAGGTTACTTTAATTTCAAGATTATTGTCGCTATCATATCTTGTATCGCTCGGTCGATAAAACTTTGTCATAATCACCATACTCGGACAGAAAACTGTACCTCAAATTGCCTACCCATTGATAATTCGAAACTCAATTTTAACCTTTTAATCTCAATTACTTTTACGGAAAAATTCCTTTTACATTTTATCCTCGAAAACAGACAATTTTTATCATCTTCTAAAAAGTGTTTAGATTTTCCAATGGACGAACTTACTGAACCCCTATTAATTATCCCTGAAGAACACATTGCCCTCAAATTCAGAGACGACCGGCTCTCAACTGATCACGCGAATCTTGTAAAGAGATACAAGTCGGGTTTAAGTTTACCTCATTCCCCAATTCGTCCAGAAAACCACTGCTCAAAGAAACTTTTACAAATCATGACCAGGGAAGACAAGTGCTGTGGAACTTGAATGAGACGATTAAGACGAATCGACCAATGGGCATCCACGGAGCCTACAAGAAAAATTGTGCCAAAGACCTACACGTGAAGGATGATTATTATTTTTTCTCGACAAGAAACTAGTCGTACCAGCCACTATCAGGGGAAATTTTAATTCTATGCTCATCGAGACCCATCCAGGACAGTTTGGGATGAAATCGCTTGCCGAATGCACGTGGTGGCCACATATTTACAGAGAAATTTATCACCACGGGAGAACGTGTAGCCAATGCTTGAAAGCTGGTAAGAACTTAAAGTTTTACTAGGTACAAACAACATTTCAAAACTACCGACTCTGTTATTCGCGAACGAATAAATCAATCTGGACTTTGCAGGTCCGTTAGACGCGTTCTGGGGAATTAATAAATACATCCTTTTTTGCATTGATCGCTTTACAAAGTTTCCTTCGGCCAATATCGTAAATAACACTTCCGCGAAAAACGTGATTTCCTTCTTAAACGATTACTGTCATCTTCACGGGTTCCAAGAAAAATTAGAGTTGACCATGGGTCATTTTTTTTTATCTTCTGATTTAAAAAACTTCTGCGAAAAATTCAACAGCGAGGTTACTTACTGTACAGTCGGCGATCACAGATCCAATGAGCTAGTGGAAAGATTAGTTTACACGATCAAATCGAAATTACTGGCAATGTCCTTCGAATTACCTAAACCTCAATTAAATGCTTCGATCGGGAAAATGATTTGGAATCTGAGAATTTCGAAACAATCCGCAATCGGCTGTACCCCTTTCGAAAAACAGTTTAATAGAACGGCGAACACTAGATGGAAAAACCTTATGTCCGACAATGATCATTTAGATAAAGGGAAATCAATCATATCCAAACAACGGGCCAGCAACTGGGAACTTCATGACGGGGC